TTATCCCTGCCTGCCACTTATAATGTATCCGGCATAAAGATTTTGGTAGATTAAACAGTCAGTAAAATTGTGATCGACGGGCCAGGAAAGGAATTCTCGTCGTAAACGGGGAGAACAAATTGCAATTCAGCGAAATTTTGATTACCGGGTCAGAAAAGGAAATCTCCTCGGAAATGGTAATAAAATACCCCCTCCTCCATGAAATAGATAAGGACCCACATTCTGAAATGGGGGTGGACAGATGTTTGTTTATATTACTAGCAGAAGTCATGAGTTCTTTAAAACCTAGAATAGCTATAGATATACCACCATAGTACAAAAAACTACAAACATAGTGTAAACAAGAAATTGTCGATAGATATGTATTTTTAAAAAAAATCCTTTTCGATTTTGAATGTGTGTTTCGGACAAAGATTTTAATCTTATTTGGTGATCAAAATATTGCTGACTTGCAAAACATTTCTCACCGCTTATCCAGCCTCATATTTATCATACAGCCGTGCGCTCTACTGGAAGTATTGTAAAACCTATGTATAAATATAACATCTACTGTAAGTGTATTAATTATTCACTGAGTGAATTAATGTTCTTGCAGTATTTACTACTGTACCCTGACTACATTGATGTGTTAATAGTTGCCGCCATACTCGTTTGTATTTTGTCAACTTCCTCTCACTTCTTTGTCTCGACTCGCTAGTGGGTACAAAACAGAGAGAGACCCAATCAAACGGCAAATTAACACAACACGCATCTTAACAAGTAGGTGCTAATTAGCTAGTTTTTCATTAGAAACGTAAGTTTTAGCTTCAGTTGTGTATTTCAAACACACAGTCAATGCTACGCTATTCTTCAAGTTATCGAGACTCAAGGTCAGGTGGTTTTATCAACATCACAAATACTCCGATTGTCAGCGAGGCGCTGAAGATGTCATTGTACATAATACTCTTGTTCATCGATGTTTCTACGAACACTATTGTATCAAAGTCATTGGTGCCCAATATGGCCGTATTCAAATTCAAATTAACTGTATCTACATAAATGACCCAATTCATTCATTCTCAGATCGAGTGTTTTATTCAGTAACAATTGTTGACGTCGCGTATGTATTACCATCTTAGTACATCCATGGTATCACACACATGTAATATAGTTTGACTTTGTTCATTGTTTATTTCGATCGGAATTCGAAAGTTGTAAACTTTTTTTTAAAATTTCGCTCAGCACTTCGAAAGTGCCATCGATAACCACTTCCTCTGTCACTTGAAATGTGAATTCATATACTATCAGTTGTTTGCATGGTCTTGTATTCTGTCCACGCAGTATGGTATTGTCTTTCAGAGAAGAGACTGACCGTAGCACTTTTAGCGTACGTCCGGTTATGACCCGAAATCGGTTGATACGTGACGGTACATCAGTAGTGGTATACCTCCTCGGTTGGTTTGTATAACCGAAAACAGCTTGTGGTGTAATGTTATATTTGCACCGCGTCGATACGGGTATGCGTCTATATATAGTGGTCATTCCAAATTTATTGAAAGAAAACACGTGTCTTGATGAATATTGGCGACTATACTAGTAGACTTCACCAAATGACCATGAATATGCGAATTGTCAATCATACATAGGGATACAGCAACTTCTCATAGAGAGTACGCCAAGGCTGATCCTATGACAAATATTTCCAAAGAAATTAAATGGATGATAATTTATCATTGTTCTGACGCGTCAGTTGATGCAATGTACACGTGTTTGGGCGAATGAGATATGGGCAATGTATGATTCCTTCGCAGATGCCGCACCCCATGTAACTCGTCAATGTGGTGCAATACATTGCAATTTATTGTTTATTTTGACAGTTTTGTATATTTATTGGCGAACTATTCGATGGCAAACATGGTTTACTTGAAAACAGTACACTGGACCTATCTTAACTAGTTTGGGAATATCACAGAGCCTGCCATCGTATAGCACGCGCCTGAAATATTATTTTAATCGCAGTAGGTGACATTAATTGTGGACATAAATCATGTCTTGCACCCTGTTTGCATTTCAATAACGATGACAGGGTGTAGTGGTGTGTAATTTCTATGCATTTACTTTGGCTTACTTCAATCGCCATGTACTACGACATCAACCAAGCAAAACGAGCTGCGTAGATATAATTACCGTGATCTTCAGACAATGGCCAGACCGGTTTCTTGACCGGAATCACGAGATAGGTCATGATACTATCCGACAAAATTTACATCGCAGTCGGAGAACAGTCTTGCAGAACGAGCAACGTCCCTACGACTTGCGACTTCCGTCATGCCAACCGCGTGGAATACCGACGCCCCCTGAGAGACACCCATGCATGTAATGGATACGGACATTCTCTCGCCAACACCTCGATGTGAGCGGATATCCTTGATGCGTCTAAGTCAATTGCAATTCCCCACTCTTCCAGTATGATACGATTTAAAATGGTTACAAATCGGAGAAAAATGCTATACACCTTCCATTGTTTCTCAAAGTGTGTGTCTGTGTGCGGTCTATCCGAACGCATTGGAAGTGGAATTTCAGGTGATCTTTAATATTAAAATCCAAAATCCAATAAACTATTTACATACTGTCACATATATACTTTGGCAATTTATTAATGGCTTTGATGACAAACGTACATTATGGTCACGTGACAAATAAGCGACGGTGATTTTTTTAAATGGTTATAAAAGTTCTGAATGGAACGCATATTTCAAGGCCGCTTTCAACACAATTTCATGGATTTTGGTGGTTACGATAATATAAATATGTATCTCGTAAAAAGCGAATGTCGTGCGTGAAAAAAAAATGCCATACTTATTTAAAATGGAGCAACATTCTTATTTCCAATTGCCACTGGAATACTGTTCGTAACTGCGTCAGTAATTGCTAGCGATCGTATATATGAACTTTTGGAGATATATTTTCTGAAATTTAGATAGAGCGATTTTTTAAATCGGTAATTCAACTTCCTGAAAAAAACAGAATTATAAATAATAAACGTAGAAAAAAATTGTTTTCGTTATGAGACTGGTATTGTACTATGAATAGCTGTGACGTAGCCGTATCATTGTCACTATTTACCGTGTGACGTAATGGTAATGGAAACATGTCCTGACTATTTCGGCGCGCGTAACTATTTATACTTGCCACTATGTATACTACCCACTACACCAGTACAGGTGGTCTCTGTACCGCATTGCCATTGGGGCGATGACCTCACCGCCGCCGTAAATATTCACTTCGATTGCTAAGCGAAAAACATCGTTAACTAAGAAAGGAAAAGGAATTCAGCTTTCACGCATAAAAAAAAGACAGGAAGAAATTTCATAATGAAATATAGGTTGTCCTGTTTGTATTGATACAGGGTAATTAAAATCATTTGAATAAAATTGCGTTTTAGTGCAAATAATAAAAACACGTCTCCCGGGACTGTGTCAAAGTATTAATGTAAGCCGAATTTCACTGCAGTCTGAGTTCTTCGGGGGGGGGGGTCTTCTATTCCAATATTAATATTAAAATACAGAATTTGGCCCTGATATTTTGATATAAATGTTCATAATCATGTTTCCAAACATATGTGTGTCGATGCATAGAGATACATACATTGATATCAATTATCAAACAAACCTCTCCGTAGATTTGATAGTATCACAAACAAACTTTCTTGAAGAAAAATAGAACAAAATCATGTATAAGAAAAAAATAAATAAATAAACAAATTTACTTATTACTTATTACTAGTGTTATTACTAGTACATAGATGACGTCACAGAGCGTACTAACTACATACTAGTAGTCTGACAGTTTAATAACGAGAGACAGCTGAATTGGCCACCTAAGTGTCATACGCTTTGACATGTAGTGTCCTACAACGGAACGTTGGTTGTGTACATCATACCGATACGTTTACATAGAGGAATGTTCGCAACACTCGCAACAGTAGCCAATAATTCCCACTAATAGAACCACAACTTCCTGCAAGCTGTTTGTGTCCATTCGACTCTGGGGTGTGTGTGCTCATATTTCTATCTATTCTCGACGTTTCCTGGATATCCACTTGCGCAAACAGGTATGCGATGATGCACGCTGATAATAAAAGAAAGAAAAAAAACAACTTACATTTTGATTTGAAATGTGACCCGATGACGAGGGGGAAACTACCAGTTCAACCAGGGTGGTCTGGGTGTCTACGATGGAGGCAATCGAATAGTGGACACAATGTTGCTAAATTTACAAAGCAAGAATGTCAGCTGTCCTATTCAGCGTTAAATCAATTCTTGTGTTCTTGTCAATTACACACTGGTGTGCGTGTTTTTCTTCTGGTCACTAACCTTTGTCGTATTTCTTAAGATTTCCAGCAGCAACAACAACAACAACAACAACAACAACTGAGCAATAGCTATAGTTGGGGTGTTTTTTTATTATTCGAAAGTGCTTCTAACTCTAAACCTAATAAAATGATTTATATTTACCTAAATAAAAGGTTGGCAACATACATCAAATCATTTGTGTTGCAATGCGATAATGACAATTCCAGTAGTCATCTGTTAAATACGTAACTGTGTCACGTGATCTTATTTAATAATGAATTTACTTGTGTGATAGTAGCATTCATAACAGTATTTACAATGAATATTCTGAGCCTCGCAATGGTATGAACCTGCTCCCTGAAAGATATTACGGCACGCCGAGAAAGACGGGCAGATCAGCAAGCAGTATATACTTGTAGTATGCCATTCCCAATTATGGAAACTGTGTTATAGTTCACCATATTTCTCAGTGACCTGTATTCCCCATCTATGTTGGCGGGTCAACTATTATTAATCCCCAGAATCGTGTGATGAAACGTGACACGAGTTGAAATTACAAGTCGTGGCATAAGAATTATTAGACGATGTGAGCCGACCACGCGTTGTCAACTTACTAGTACATAATGATAAAACGTAATAATAGAGGAGATTGTGTTTTTTTTAATAATGGGTCTGTTGATGGGGTCGGGCAAGGATATGTCGGGCATGGTATGGGGAGGTTTGATGGAACCAGGAGGTATGGAAGAATTGTATAGTAATATTGAACACGGTACGTTGTGGCAGTGTATAAAGGGGAATGCAGACCAACGACATGGTATTAACACAATTACGGAATAGTAAATCGGAATATAGGTAGTGTTAGAATTAGGTTGGGTGGGGTGTGGCGAGGGAGTCTATGCTAGACAGGTAGCGCAAGATAAGTGTCGGGTAGTCCAGGATAGGACAAACAAATTAAATATGGTAGAGAAAAAAAAACAAGAAAGCATAGGTATTAAATTCTAGATAGATTATAGATGGGATGCCTGTATAGATGAACTAAAGCCAGGCAGGTAAGACGACGGCATATGGTAGGCTAGGTTAGGATGGGGTAGGGCATAATAGTGTAGGGCTGAGTGGAACGGGATAGGTCATGTTAGGACAGGACAGGGCAGAGTGGGATGATTTAGGATAGGTTAACACAGAGTAGGATGGTGTAGGACAAGGTGTACTTATGCTAGGCAGGTAAAATGATGGGATATGCTAGGATGTGGTGGAATAGGGCAGGGTAGGACAGGGTGAGATTGAGTAGGACATATTAGGATAGGGCTGAGTGGAACGGGATAGAACATGCTTGGATATGTCAGGGCAGAGTGGGATGATTTAGGATAGGTTAACACAGAGTAGGATGGTGTAGGACAAGGTGTACTTATGCTAGGCAGGTAAAATGATGGGATATGCTAGGATGTGGTGGAATAGGGCAGGGTAGGACAGGGTGAGATTGAGTAGGACATATTAAGGTAGGGCTGAGTGGAATGGGGTAGATCATGTTTGGATAGGGAAGGGTAGAGTGGGATGATTTAGGATAGGTTAACACAGAGTAGGATGGTGTAGGACAAGGTGTACTTATGCTAGGCAGGTAAAATGATGGGATATGCTAGGATGTGGTGGAATAGGGCAGGGTAGGACAGGGTGAGATTGAGTAGGACATATTAATGGTAGGGCTGAGTGGAATGGGGTAGATCATGTTTGGATAGGGAAGGGTAGAGTTGTATGGTTTAGGGTGGGTTAAGATAGTGGATAGCGCAGGTTAGATGAGTATGGCAGACATAGCAGGTTGTGACGATGGAGGACAGGTAGGTTGGGATAGAGTAAGGAAGGGGCAGATGGGTAGAACATATTGGGATGTGGTAACGCAGGTGAAATTGATAGGACAGATTGAGACAAAATATGACTGAGTCCGACAAGGTAGGACTTGGTATGGAAGGGTGGGATTAGTTAGGACAGGGCAGGTTGGGATGTGTCAAAAAATTAATTGAGTAGGACGGGGAGTGGGTGTGATAGGGTAGGACATGGTATGTCAGGGTGGGATTAGTTAGAACAGGGCAGGATGGGATGTGTCAGAATGAATTGAGTAGGACGGGGAGTTGGTGTGATAGGGTAGGACATGATCAGGGTGGGATTAGTTAGGGCAGGGCAGGTTGGGATGTGTCAGAATGAATTGAGTAGAACCGGGAGTTGGTGTGATAGGGTAGGACATGATATGTCAGGGTGGGATTAGTTAGAACAGGGCAGGATGGGATGTGTCAGAATGAATTGAGTAGGACGGGGAGTG